CCTGACACTACCCCTTTGGAACATTTTTATTCATCCCTTGCAGGGCAAAAAAAAAAAAAAAAATCCTGGTTCCACAAAGAAGGGTCCGCCTACAAGTTAAGACAGCTCCAGGCGCCCCTAGGCTTTACCTCACAGTTGAGCCAGGAAAGAACTGGGCAGGTTAGTGGAGTAGCAGCCTGTCTTCCCATTGCCCAAATGAAGGAGTGCATTAGGCTGTCAGCCCCTCCTGGCTCATGAAGACCTCCAGGAAGAGATCAGCAGCCCAACTGCCTCCAGGGTTGATATAGATTGGATGGCAGGACCTTTGGAATCAAATCCAGATTCCGGGCCTAGCTCAGTCATGTCCTGTGATTTTGGGCAAGTTATCTGGCTTCTCCGACCCTTATCTGGATTCGTGGGTAATAAATTCCACTTCTCAGGGCTACTAATCCTTAGAAAGGGCCTAGCACATAAGAAAAGCTCCTGCCCTTTCTGTCTATTGCTACACACACACACACACACACACACACACACCCCATTCCCAGAACTGTGGCTCCTAAACTCTCCCCACAGCTCTGCCCTTGGGCTCACTGGGTGTGGCAGCATTTCCTCCAGAAAGCCTCTGCAAGGAACTGCCTTACTCCCCTCTGCCAGCTCCAGCTGAAGGAAGCAGTCACAGCTGGACTTGTGCCAGGGGAGCTTCCTTCTTAAAACTGGTTTGGGCTGGACCTTTCCTGCTCAGCACTGAGCATCTCCCTCTAACCCAGTCATGGGTCAGCCAGCCAGAAGATATGTCTGCAAACTGCAGAAGAGGAAAGTTCAAAGCATTCCTCAAATACAATAGTGCATTCCTAGCCCACGGTCCAATCCTGGAAGCAGTCTCCCTCCTCTGGGTTTGGGCAAGGTATTAGACAGGAGCAGCAAGGCCAACCAAGCCTGAGCTGGCCCCTGCCTCTGCCCATTCCTACCTTAGTCTGAGGCTTATAGCAGGGTTTTTTTTTTTTTTTTTTTTTGTTTGTTTGTTTTGTTTTTTTCAGGCTAGGCAGAAGGAAAGGAAGGGAGTGTGAGGCAAGCCCCTCCTCCTCCATTCTTCCTCCTCAGTGGTATCTTTGACAACTCCTCTGCTGGATGGAGTGTGGATGCTGAGCAGAGAGACTGAGGGTAACAGTTGACAGGCTGGCGTGAGGCCTGATTTGATGCCATTGCCTCATGGTAAATACAGCAATTGCCTCACTCAGGACCCCCACCACCCTTGGAAACTGGATTGGAAAAGGGAACCCTGGAAATGACCAGTTGAGGGCCTCTGAACAACCCTTACTCCTAACCTATGCCATCAATAATTCTGCTTTGAACTGGGTGTGGTGGCACACACCTGAAATCCTAGCACCTTAGAAGGCTGCAGGAGGATCACAAGTTCAAAGCCAGCCTTAGCAACTTAGTAAGACCCTGTCTCAAAATAAAACATAAAAGGCTGGGATGTGGCACAGTGGTTGAGTGCCCCTGGGTTCAATCCCTGGTACAAAAAAAAAAAAAAAAAAATCTGCTTGAACAAAGAAAATCCTGGTAGTCTCTGGGACCCATAGATATGGACAGGTTTGGGTCCCAGAAAGTCAAGGGTCTCAGAAAGCCTACCAAACTTGGGCCCAATGGAATTAATCGCTCCAGGCTGGGGGGAGGGAACAGCCAGACTGTGCCCCCTCCTACCATCAAATTTATTATTTTACCTTTCATATGTAGGTCTATAATCCATCTGCAGTTAATTTGAGGATATGATATGAACTCATTTTTCTTCATATGAACATCTAATTGCTTCAGCTACATTTATTGAAAAGACCATCCATCCTCTACCATATTGCAGTGTCACCTTCATCATAAATCAAGTGACCTCATATGAATGGGTCTATTTCTGGATTTTCTCTTCTTTTCCATTAGTCTTTTTGTCAATCCTTATGCCAATTCTATACTATATTAATTATGGTAGCTTTATAATAAATCTTGATATATATTTAGTATAATCCTCCAACTCTGTTCTCAAGATTGCCTTGGCTATTCCTGGTTCTCTGCACATTTTAGAATCAGTGTGTCAATTTCTGCCCCCAAAAAAATCTGCTGAGACTGAAATAAATCTGTAGGTTAATTTGGGAGTAATTGACACATCCTTGCCGTATTGAATCTTCCAGTGTACGAACATTCTTAAATATCTTTAATCTTTGTATTTTTCAATGTAAAGATTTTACAAGTCTTTCATTAGATTTATTCCTATGTTTTATATTTTTAAATAAAATAGTAAATGGTATCTTTTTATTTCATTTTCTATTTTTTGGTTTCTGGGATGTAGAAATTAATTGACTTGTTTATGTTCACCTCGAGTTGAGGACTTTCCAAATTTACTTATTTAATCCCAGTAATTCATATATAGAATTTTCTGTATGTTCTACTTATACAATCATGTTGTCTACATATTATTGGTCTTACCACTTTTCAAATGGTCCTAGCAGCCTTTCTTTAGGTTGCTAATTTCACAATAGTTAATGACTGCTGATTTCTAAATCTCCATCCATTCCCACAAAGCCTGAGCTCAACTGACTGCTTCTGCCACCCTCACCACCATAAGCCCTGGACCTAGGACTCTGGGCTATTCTTTCTCCTCAGGTTTTTCCTACTGACTCTGGGGAGATTTTCTTCTGAAATGGCTATTAGAGTGAACTCAAGAGGGGAATCTCTTATCACTTAGACCACTTGCTAAAGATAGTCTCCCCATGAGTTCCTGCAGCAAGAGCCAAGAACTTGGTTGGGGGTAGGTAGTTGGTGGAGAGGGTTGTTCTGAGGTCACAGTCTCAGCCAGATCTTCTTCAGCTCTAGGTGTGTCTTTGCACCTCCAGAAGTCTTCACAGAGTTAAGGAGGAGGAAAAAAGTTCCGCTAACTAATCCAGGGATAGAGGGTCTGTCCAAGAGACTGCAAGAATAGCCCTGCTGATGAAGACCCTTCTGTAGTAAAAGGCAAAGGCTGGAGGGTAGGCATTCAGATTTTACTAAACCATGGAGAGTCTGCATAATGGAGATATGGTAAGGTCCCCGGATCCCCAAACCCAGAAATCAAGCATTACCCTTGAGAGGTAAATCGGAGAGGGTTTGGCATCACCCTCAAGTGTCAGTATCCAGAGGCCTTGAGCTTAGAGGCAGGTATGTAAAGAGAGGCAAGAGATATAGTCTAATGGGACTGTACTTACTTCATACTCCCTAAACCCTGTCTTCTATGAACCCCATTTGATAGACAAAGAATCCTGAGATTCAGATTATCTAATTAACTTGTTCTTAGTCTCTTCAAATTCATGGGAGACTCCGTACAACTCAAACAGGTACATTTCATTCCAAAGTCCTTGGGCTATAGGGGTCTCACATCTATAGCTCTGCCTTTGGAGACTGTTAGGGAGATTCCTGGACCTCAAGGTCCAGAAAAGTGACTGGCATTCCAAGAGGTGTTCCATGAGTCCAGGTGGGCTTCTAGTAGGGAAGTGGTGCTGTTCAGGTTCTCTGTCTTTCTGAGTGGACACCAGCACCCTCCTGGACCTGTGACTCTCTAGAATCTGTGAAAATGACCAGGGAAATGCTGTTTCCAGAACAGAAGCCAAAAGAGAATGTGATGGCCCCATACTTAAGATCTTTGTATAGATGAGTAATCCAGACATTCAGATTGAGAAACATGCTAAACTGGGTGAGGTACAATATATTTGTAATCCCAGCTACTCAGAGGCTGATGTAGGAGGATCATTGAGCCCAGAAGTTCGAGTCTAACCTGGGCAACATAGTGAGGCCCCATATTTCTCTCTCTCTCTCTCTCTCTCTCTCTCTCACACACACACACACACACACACACAAATGGAAACACATTTCATTTTTTCTTAAAACCTGGAAGTGACCTTTCCTGAATCCACTGAACTATTTTAATCACTTTAGGTCCAAAAGCATTCAAGTAGGCACCCTGACCCTGTCTCCCATCAATATGTGGTTCCCTTTCAGGACTCTCCATGTGGCAAGGCTAGAGCCCTTTGGAAGTTACTTTCCCACCTAGGTTTCCAGTTTCTCTCTCTCAGAGCTAGTCACATTATCCTTTGCAGGATCAGTAGGACCTCAGGCAAATGCCAGATCAGCAAGGTGAGGGGATGCTGCCTTGACACCAAGTGAGGTTTTGTGCAGTCAGAGTTCTGAGACCAGAGAGGAATCCCTAGGGAAGCGGGACTGTCTGACTTCCCAGGAGAGCTTACTCTAGGATGGCTGACCTGAACCCATCCCAAGCTAATCGCCTTGGCTCAGGGCCTTTCTGGAGTTGAGACAAAGTACCTGGGAAGTATGGGAGCCCCTTGGGGGTTCCCTGATCCTATGATGCATGGTCCCAATCTGGGCAACTAGCCCTAGTTAGTTGTCTTTTTATGAATGTTGTGTATCACATTAACAGGTTTTCTGTTGTTGAACCATCCTGGGACAAACCCAGACAGATTGTGATAAACAAAAGCTTTAACATACAGTTGGATTCAATTTGCTACTTTTGTTCAGGGGTTTTCATATTTATGTTCTTAAGTAAGATTGGTTCATATTTTCTTCTTGTATTCTTATCTGATCGAAGAATCAGGGTCATACTTGCTTCTTAAAATGAGTCTGCCAGCTTTCCTCCCTCTTTCTAATTATTTGACAGTAGAATGATATTTGTAATGGGCTTTGGATTTTAAAAAACACACCCCCAGAGTCTGCCTCCTCAGCAGGAGACTTGGCACAGACCAACAAACAGACACCTCTTTCCCTTGTTCCTAGTCTGCATTGGCTTATTTATGGCCCTTTTGTGGTTCCTGAGACTGTTTTGCTGGGAACCAGCCATTTCTCTGAGGAGGTAGGGATGACACCAAAGGGCTAGGGATGGGTTCTGCTGGGGGAATAGGAGAGAGCTCTGTGCCTGGCACTCCAGCACCCACTGCAGCTACCCCGTGCTTCCTGGGCCAAAGCTCAACCTGACCCTCCCTTTGCAGGCACCATGTTCCGTAAGAAAAAGAAGAAACGCCCAGAGATCTCAGCCCCACAGAACTTCCAACACCGTGTCCACACCTCCTTCGACCCCAAAGAGGGCAAGTTTGTGGGCCTCCCACCACAATGGCAGAACATCCTGGATACATTGAGGCGCCCCAAGCCCGTGGTGGACCCTTCACGCATCACACGAGTGCAGCTCCAGCCCATGAAGGTAAAGGGGGTGGGCGTGGATGGCGGCCAAGTTCAGCCTCTCCCACTCTGCAGAAAAACGGCTGGTAAAACCCCAGAGGCACCTGGAGGAGCCACCTAGTTATCAGCGTGGATGAGCCAGCTGTCTTAATTTCCTGGTAATCAGTCTCTCTCCCTGGGGATCCAGGGAGGCAGAGTCTGGGGAGTCCTTTGCATGGTGATAGGGATGCCAGATTTAGCAAATAAAAGTACAAGATAGCCAATTAAATTTGAATTTTAGATAATAGTCTTTAGTACAAATATGTTCCATGCGATATTTGGACCTATAACCTCAAAGGGATTGGCGCTTTCACAGACTGGGGCAATTCAGTTGTGGAGGTCCAGATGGGTATATCTAAGAGCCTGGTTGGGGTCTGGGTCATGGGCACTGTCAGGGTAGGCCATGAAGCTAGTGAGTGTGGAAAGGGCCCCTGGACTGGTACTGGAGTTCTAAGTGGGGGGCTTTGCATATGACTCTGAAGGCCACAGATAGAACTAGAGAATGGCGCTTCCTCCCCCTGTGCGCCTCAGTTCCCCATGCTCAGCAGGCCACGCTACTTGTCATGTTGTAACCCCATGGTTACCCGCCTGCCTGCCCTGCTGACAAAGACCTTCTCCCTGTATCCTTACACACTGCACCAGCACAGGCCTGACCCATTTGGGGCCCTAGTAAATGACTGAAAAACCAATAAATGGGTGGATGATACAAAGGAGGTCCATAGGTGTTCCTCCCCAAGGCCCCAGAGAAGGCTGTGACCCTGGTCTCCAGGCCAGCCCTCCCTGCCTCGAAGGGGCTGCTCACACTCTTCTCTCTTCACTCTCCAGACAGTGGTACGGGGCAGCTCGGTGCCAACAGATGGCTACATCTCAGGGCTGCTCAATGACATCCAGAAGTTGTCAGTCATCAGTTCCAATACTCTGCGTGGTCGCAGCCCTACCAACCGGCGGCGGGCACAGTCTTTGGGGCTGCTAGGGGATGAGCACTGGGCCAATGATCCGGACATGTACCTCCAGAGCCCCCAGTCTGAGCGCACTGACCCCCACAGCCTCTACCTCAGCTGCAACGGGGGCACACCAGCAGGTCACAGGCAGATGCCATGGCCTGAACCACAGAGCCCACGGGTCCTGCCTAACGGGTTGGCCACCAAGGCACAGTCCCTGGGCCCTGCTGAATTCCAGGGTGCCTCACAGCGCTGCCTGCAGCTGGGCGCCTGCCTGCAGAGCTCCCCACCTGGCATCTCACCCCCTATGGCTACAGGGAGGCGGGGCGTGAAGGCTGCCAAGCATGGCTCTGAGGAAGCCCGGCCACAGTCTTGCCTGGTGGGCTCAGCCACAGGCAGGCCAGGTGGCGAAGGCAGCCCTAGCCCGAAGGCCCAAGAGAACAGCCTCAAGCGCAGGTTATTTCGAAGCATGTTCCTCTCCACTCCTGCCACGGCACCTCCAAGCAGCAGCAAGCCAGGCCTTCCACCACAGAGCAAGGTAGGTCAAGTGGAGCTTCCTTCTGGGGCTACTCAGGAGCACAAGGATCCTGGATTGGCAAATGGCCACAAGGAATGGGTGTCAGAAACACAGGACCTGCCTGGTCTTTCCTACTTATATAGAGTCAGGGTTAGGAAGAATGTGAGGAATCAAAATGATCAACAAACTAGGTCAACCTCAGCTGAGGATTGTACCTGGAACCAACTGAGCTCTTGTCCTCCAAAGGCTTAGCGTGTGAGAGTCGGAGGTTGTAAGCCAGGTCCTCTAACAAGAGTGGGGGTACCCTGGCTGTGGGGTCTGGGAGGACCACTCCAGGAAGCAGACACTCCCCTGGTAAAGTAGCATCTTTAACCACAAGCCCATAGCAGACCATCTTGACCTGCGATGCCCAGCAAGCCCCCAGGCTCCAGAAGAGGTGTGTGCTCCTGCCCCATCTGCCTCCCTCTTCTCAGAACTCTTCCCCAGCACGCCCCCAAGACCTGTGGAGGGGCTTCCTGGATGCATCTCCCTCAGGTGGCAGAAGTGTGCATAGTAATACCTCCAGTGAGGAGGGCTCCTGCCACTTTACCTTGTTCCCTTTGTTCCTTTGCCTTTTCTTTTGGGTAGGAGTTGTTTTGTTTCATATTTCTGTAGTTATTTCTTCTCTAGCATGTATGCTACCTGAAAATCCAGAGAATTGAATTTTCCCAGATCTGGAAACCGCAGGAGAACTGACTCCTGGCACTTGTGATGGCCTTAAACACACCTTTTTCTTATGAGAAAGGAAAGAGTGAGGGAGTCCCAGTGGTGACTGTTTGGCAGGCAAATTGGAGCATGTTTTTGCTTCTTACCTGCCCTATGGCATATTGTCCGTCCATAGACACAATCACATATTTTCCCATTTGGCAAATGAGAGGACTTACTTAGTGCCTCCAATGAGTCAAGGAAGGAAACACAGAAAACTTGCTCAGGACCGTGCATGCTGTCCTGGGACCTCTGGACTCTTTTTTGACTACAAAGCTTTATAACCATTGGCAGCCAGATGTCTTCTAGGTCCTGAGCATCAGGCAGAATGAGCTGTGGCTACAGCAACAGGGTTTTCAGTCAGGCCAAAGAAACAGTGGCTGATATAGTGTGACTCCTGCCTCCTAGGACAGATTTGGGAACTAGATTTGGGAACAAGTCCCTGCTTCCCGTGTTAGCCATGGCATGAATGCATTCCAACCTGAATGGGGGTGGGAGGTTTGGGAGGTGGCCAGGAACTACAGACTTTCTAGTTTCCTGCCGGCTGAGGCACCCAGGGAAGGTTCTGGGCTTCATGCACTCCAGTTCCTGTTTCACTAGGACAAAGGACAGTGGTTTGGGTTCTGCATAGGACATGGTTTGAAGTGTTCATGTCAGATCCCTGTGAGCTTAAGGGTCTCTGGAAGGCTGTGCACATGGGGAGATATCTCCCCACTCCAAACTAAGGTAGGAGCAGGGTAGTGCATACCACTAGGGAGGTGAGAATCAGAGCTTGATCCCTCTCATGGATGGGCTTAAGGGATTTGAAGAAAAGGAGTGCCAAAATTAGACTGGGCACTGACCTGCATCTGTTGGTTACGGCCAATATCCCACAGCCAGGCACAGGCCTGTTTGTCCCTACATGCTTAGAACCACCATGGGCCACCACTGCTGGGTGTCCTGGGTGCCTCCACAGTAGCTGATAGTGGCCATCTTGGGCTTGGGGATAGCACAGTACCAAATCCAGAGGAGTGTTTCTTCTGGGTGCTTCAGGCTTACCTTTCTAGATAAGTGTTCTCAAGCCAGACCTCTGAGCTGCTCTGAAAGCACTAGTGACATTTAGAGCAGATAAGTCCTTTATTATGAAAGCTGCCCTGTGCTTTGTAGCAGCATCCCTAGCTGGAACCCACTAGATGATAGTGCCACTTCCAGTTGGACAACCAAACATGCCTCTAGATACTACAGAAAAATCAGACACACACACTCCCTGTCCTTGGTTGAGAAACAGTGGTTTAAGTTGCAACACAGATGGGAAACATTAAGCTCTCCCATCTACCCCAGGCCACAAGCCCTCTGCACTGAACACCCAGGAGGAGCTGGCTCTGGACATTCATGGTAGCTCCCACAGCAACAGCCAGGTCTTGGTGCCCTGGGCTGTCAGGCTACTAAGGCCTAGTGTTCCAGGCATGGCTGTGGGAGGTCTGAGTACAGCCTCAGGGCTCCTGTTCTCAGCCCCTGGCAGAGCAGTCTGTAATAACTCACTGGCTAAAGAGCAAAATGAGCAGGACAGATAGGAGCTTTGGGGATGTAAAAGTGGTTCCACTTAGAATCAGAAGGGCAACATTGATCAAGCACCTACGTGTACCATATACTCACAGCAAGGATACATGGCAGCAACAGGACCACAGCAAAGTGGTAAGCCCTCCATGAATGGCTTTATTGCTTTTTAAAACTGTTAAGATATAGCCTCTGCCTTTAGGCACTTATGGTACAACCCACTCAGCTGGCAGTGGGAGACCTAAGGGCCAAGGAGGAAAGGAAGTATCACTATGGTGATGCTACTGCTGGTGCTGGCTGAGTTCAGAGACAAAGCCTATGTCAAGGCCTCTTCAATTAGCTTCCTTTCCACAAGGTCTCAGTCACACTAGAAACCATCAATCCAGAGCCCGTAACATTCCACCCCTTTTCCTTTCTTGGCATGGTTTGATAAGTGAAGACCCATCCAGCCCTACCTCCATAGCCCAAACTATGTTGGTATAGGGCTCCTGACTGCACCATTCCACCCCTGGCCCCAAGATGCAGGCTTTGTCCCTGAACTCAGCCAGCACCAGCAGTAGCATCACCACAGGGGCCTTGACAGAGAGGAGAGGGAGGGAACCCTCTTCCTGGCTCCTCCATGTGGCTTGTCTCTTCACACATCCACAGAACTGTGGTCCATGGGCCTCTGCAGAAGTTCTGGAGGCCAGAGGTGAAGGACATCATTTATAGCCTTTATTAGGAATTTCATGATGGAGAGAGGACAAGGGCCATTAGAGAAACCTGAAGAGGAGCTGTAGGTGGCCTTCAAGCTCTACCCCACCACACATAGATGATCAGAGAGCAGATTTTCTGAGTGAAGTTCATACTCGCAGACCAGCAGACAACCTCCTTAGCCCTGAGCCTTTTTACAGAACCTCTGGGGGCTGGCAAGGGTGATTGTGTGATAAAATGAGGCTTGTGGTCCCCCCTTCCCTCCCTGATCTTTTGACATCTCATGTAACCTCTGCTTTTAGGACATGACATCACAGACTCTGTACTGGCTATGCTGCCTTGACTTCCCCACCCTCCTCCACCTACCCACATCTACCCATATCTACCTAAATCCCCTTCCCACAACTCCTGGAAGCTTTCTGAGGCCATTAAAATACATCTCTGCTCTAAGGACTATCTGAATCAGGCTCAGAAATCTGCAGTTTATCTAGCTCCCCAGGTCACTGCACATAGCCCCTTCAGTTTTCGGGAGGATACTGGGCTTAGAAAGGGTGGCTTGTCTAAAGCAGACTAGTACTGAAGCTTATATGCTGATGCCTCAGCCAAAAGTCCCGCTCATTCATTGTACAGAGGGAAAGAGTGTGAGGGTTAGTTGCTGGCAAAGGAACGGCCTTACTCTTTGACTATGCACACCAGGGATAGAGTAAGTCCAAGCAATTCTGGGAGGTTTTCTGGCTCTTTCCCTGCAAAGGTTGCCCCCTTGGTGCACAGGCAGGCATGGGCATGCAAAACCATCACAGCATAGCCTTCTGCTGGCAGCACCCTTCTCTACAGGGGCACCTGACCTGCTTGACCGCCTGGCAAGGCCAGGAACTGTAGGGAGTGGAGCCCTGAAGCTGTCAGACCCTAGCCCTGCTTCTGGGAGCCCAGTCACAGCTGGCCCTGCCCAAGACCTCTTCCACCCACATGGGGAGCCTCAACCCAGCTTCTCAGAGTAGCTCCAGAGCACAGAAGCAGGACTTTGCCTCACAGTAGCCTCCCTGGGGCCCAGCTGTCATTCACCTAGGAAGAAATACCCAGCTGGAAGACACCCCAGGGACTTGGATCCTTCCCAGGAGCAGCAGAGTGAATGTAAAGAGTGTTGTTGGCCTGTTCACTTGGGAGTGTGGCAGGAATGGGGCTGTTTCCTAAGTACGACTGGTTGGGCTTCAGCTTCATTTGAAAATCTTTGCTCACAATATCTCCTCAGCTTGTTCTGAAGCCCTACCTGTATCCAGAGATCACAGTGGCTGCCCCTTGCCTCTGGGAAACTTGCTCCAAAATCTCCTATAGCCACGTCCCTACCTGTTTCTTTCCTTATCTTTGCAGCCCAACTCTGCTTTCCGACCACCACAGAAAGACTCCCCTCCAAGCCTGGTGGCCAAGGCCCAATCCTTGCCCTCAGAACAACCCATGGGGACCTTCAGTCCTCTGACCACCTCGGACACCAGCAGCCCCCAGAAGTCCCTCCGCATAGCCCCAGCCACTGGCCCACTTCCAGGTCGGTCTTCCCCGGCGGGCTCCCCCCGCACCCGGCATGCCCAGATCAGCACCAGCAACCTGTACCTGCCCCAGGACCCCACAGTGGCCAAGGGTGCCCTGGCTAGTGAGGACACGGGCATTGTGACACATGAGCAGTTCAAGGCTGCACTCAGGATGGTGGTGGACCAGGGTGACCCCCGGCTACTGCTGGACAGCTACGTGAAGATTGGCGAGGGCTCCACGGGCATTGTTTGCCTAGCCCGAGAGAAGCACTCTGGCCGCCAGGTGGCCGTCAAGATGATGGACCTCAGGAAGCAGCAGCGCAGGGAGCTGCTCTTTAATGAGGTGGGAGGACAGGATGGGACATGGGTGGGGGCAACTGGGAGAGAAGTGAGCACATAACCAGGCCGGACATCTGCGGGCCTGGGTGGTCAGGTGGTCATGCCTCAGGGGCACTGTGCCAGCACTCAGGTTCCCCTTCACCCCCAGGTGGTGATCATGCGGGACTACCAGCACTTCAACGTGGTGGAGATGTACAAGAGTTACCTGGTGGGCGAGGAGCTGTGGGTGCTAATGGAGTTCCTGCAGGGCGGGGCCCTCACAGACATCATCTCCCAAGTCAGGTGGGTAGCTGGGAGGCTGGGGCCCTGAGGGAGGCTCTCCCCACCACTGCGTTGGCAGGGGGGTTGTGGTGCCTGTCGTATTGTCTGAGGGACCCCCTACCTGTTTGAGGTAACTGAGATCCAGAGTTTTCAAGGGTGTGAGAAGAGAAAAGTAGCCCAGGGCTGGGGCCTGAGGGGGCTGCTGGACACATTGCCTGGGAGATGTGGGGCCCTGTGCCAAGGACTCCCTTCTTCCTAGTCCAGCTGCCCTGCTAAAGTTATCATTCTCTTCCCTCGTGGCCCTGCTGACCTTGTCCAGGCTGAATGAGGAGCAGATCGCCACTGTGTGTGAGGCTGTGCTGCAGGCCCTGGCCTACCTGCATGCCCAAGGTGTCATCCACCGGGACATCAAGAGTGATTCCATCCTGCTGACCCTTGACGGCAGGGTAGGCCCTCCCTTCCTGCTCCTCCATTGCATTTCTCCTCCTGGTCCTCCTGGCCCTCCAACTACTCCCCTTTCAACCCCAGGTGAAGCTCTCGGACTTTGGATTCTGTGCTCAGATCAGCAAAGATGTCCCTAAGAGGAAGTCCCTGGTGGGAACCCCCTACTGGATGGCTCCTGAAGTGATCTCAAGGTCTCTGTATGCCACTGAGGTAACCATTCTGCCCACCAATGAGGCCTCCCCAAAGAGGCTTGAAAACATGCAACTCCTCTGCCCTGAAGCTGTCTGACCCTAGCTGTCTTCCTTGCCCTGCTTCTGGGAGCTCAGTCACAGCCACAATAACTCCACAGTACCCACCACAGTAACTCTGGTTCTCAGGTAACCTCTCAGTCAGTACCCGGCACCCTTTCTGATGAGCTGCTGTAACCTAGACTTCACTGCGGGGAGTGGATCCTCCAACTATTACCCCTCCACCAACTCAACAGCAAAGTGGGGTGTGGCCAGGCTTCCCCAATCATGATGCCCTCTCTCAGAGACTGGCTGATAGTTCTATCCCTATGGTCTCTGGCCACTAATGCAGGAAGTAACAAACCACTGGGCAGCTGATCAGGGGAGGAAGGAGATAGGCACAAAGACACCCAGGAGAGTTGAGACCAGCTGCTTCTTCCCATCCAGCATGCTGCTACCAAGGGCCAGGCTACAGCAGTAGGATCAGGGATATTCTTCCCCTGCAGGTGGATATCTGGTCTCTGGGCATCATGGTGATTGAGATGGTGGATGGGGAGCCCCCCTATTTCAGTGACTCCCCAGTGCAAGCCATGAAGAGGCTCCGGGACAATCCCCCACCCAAGCTGAAAAACTCTCACAAGGTAGGTTGGTGTATAACGTGTGACCCCACAGACCCCATTCTTCCTGTGGTGAGAGGACCACAGCCTATACTCCCATCCTCTCCCTCCACCAAAACCAGAGGATTCAGTATCTTTCTCACACAAAACCTGCACCTGGATGCAGAACCCCATTTACGCATACTCCTATGTTCATTCCAGTTTCCCAGCTACAGCAGCCAAGATGCCCTGCAGCAGGCACTGCCAGGTGCCCAGAGGCACCTATAAGCAGAGAAAGTGAGGAGTCTCTTCTTTCTAGGGCAGCGGGTGGAGGGGGACCAGAGAAGCCTAATTGAGCATCAACCCTTCTACTCCATTTGTCGGGACCCACACCGTGATACAGTGTTCCTGTCTATCATAGCAAATGGCTTGTCCTCCCTTATGGCACATTTTGACCACAGCCAGAGGTAGAGCTTTCCCCTTAGAACCAGTATAAATGTGTATTATATTTAAGCCTTTCCTGCCAAATCCATCCCCAAACCTGCAGACCTTACCTGTGATCACCCCCTGCTGGCAGTTCAACACAGGACTGCCAAATGGCACTGCCATCTGGTGGTTAGAGCAAGAATTGTCCCAGAGGGTTAAAGTCCACAACCAGCAGTTTTGTGACCCCCCAAGACAGTCGGCTGGGAGGACCAATAGGAAACATCTTCCAAGACAACTGGAACCTGCACTAGTAACCCAAAATAAGCATATAGAGGAGACCTCCACATCGAATTCCCCAGAGGAGGTAGCCTTCTCTAGCAGGCTGACATCCCCAGATACCAGTTCAAAATGAACCAAGCCCTGCCTTAGAACAACAAAGAAAGCTTTTCAGGTCCCAGCTTGTACTTTTCTATTTTTCAAGTACTCCCTAATTTCTGTCCTCTTTTTTAGTCTTCACTTAAGCCTTATGTGGCAGACAAAAGAGGCATTCTTCATCATTAGCCCATTCTGCAGATAAAACTAAGGTCTGGAGAAAATTTCAACTTGCCTGAGATCAGGGATATATCTGGACCCAGGACTGGATTATTGATGCCAGTTCCCTGCTCCCTGCAGAGTCACAGGGCCTGAATGCTGAGAGCTTTGTGAAGCCAGCCAGTGGAGTGGGCTGTACATGGACCCAGCTTCCTAGAGTCCCAGACATCTTAATTCCATTGCTTGGCAACTCCCATTACAGGTGAACTGGCCACAGTTCCAGGACTGATGCATCCTCGTTTACCTATTTGATAATCAAACAAGCTCTGAGCCTGGGAGGAACCAGGAAGTAAGCAACAAGAGAATTCGAAACTTTCAAACAATAAAAGGCCAGGCAGTCAGGTCATTCCAAAGTAATTGTAAACCATGACTTCCCCTGGTTGCCCTGTCTCCACAGGTATCCCCAGTGCTGCGAGACTTCCTGGAGCGGATGCTGGTGCGGGATCCCCAAGAGAGAGCCACGGCCCAGGAGCTCCTGGACCACCCTTTCCTGCTGCAGACAGGGCTGCCTGAGTGCTTGGTGCCCCTGATCCAGCTCTACCGCAAGCAGACCTCCACCTGCTGAGCCCACTCTGAGTGCACCTGCCACCTGTGCCCCACAGGCAGGGGACACTGGGCATCTAGCCCTCCAGCAGGGCTTGTCTGCCTCATTCTCTCAGTATTCTCTCCAAAGATTGAATGTGAAGTTCCACCCCTATCCTATTGCCCCTTTGCCCACTGGGCCAGGCCGGACCTGCCCCCTTGGTCTCTCTCCCTCCCCAAAGAATCCCCAGTTGCCTTTGGGATGATGGAGACCCCCTCCTGCAGGATTACCCTTTGTTATTTGCACAGGGATATTTCTAAGAAATAGAGACCAGCACTCCTAGCCTCTGTGGTCAGCAAGCAGAAAAGGCTGCTGCAGACTTTTTAAAAGTAGTTGTATACTAGCATCTCAAGCCACCCAAGAGGGCCAACTTCCCATCTTCACATGGATACTTGCTGTTCTCAGCTCCACCTTCAAGCCTTGGGGTCTCAGAGGGCCACAGGGAAGGTTTTTATTACCTGAACCCTACTTCCTCCCTTGGTCTAACTTCCTAAAGGCACAGTCCTGCCTATACCTGCTCCCTGCCCCACCTGTACTGCCTCTCCCCACACAGCCTATCAGAACTGTGAAAGGCCTGCTCCTAGGCCACGGGAGGGGAAAGGGGGCATTTTCTGAGTGAAAGAGAAAGAATGGGGTTGGTGGTAAAAGTGGCCTCACTACAGGTTGGAGAGAACTTCACGTGTGAGTATGTGTATATGTAAGGGGAGGAAGGACCCAATGGCCTGTGTCCCTTCAGTTACCTGCAGCCAGCTTCAGGAGGGCTATCCGAACCTCTTCTCCCACTAGGCTCAACTCTGAAGGGACCCCCTTTCTTGGCCTGGCTCCCTACCTCTCAAGTCCCATGTTTCTTTTCAATCAGTGAATTGAGTCCACCAATGCTGGGGACTCACAAGATTCCTGAGTCTCTTCCACACTGTGGAGTCTGAGACAAGAATAGTAAGGCGATAAACTTAGTTTTCCTGTCAGCTTCATCTCAATAACCAGGTCATCAGGGACCCGTCCTTCAGACTCTGGGCTGGGACAGAAGGTATACCACCTCCTGGGGGTCCATCACATCAGAAGGGGCACCCCATCTGTGTGAACCTGCTGCCCCAGCTGCCTCTTCAGACCCTTGACCCCTTATCCTCCTTCCCTCTCCACCTTTTAGGCTATTGTGAGACAGGGAAGGCCAGGGAAGAATTCCGGGTGTCTGGACCCTTTCCAGATAATATTTTTAGATCCCTCTGTCCCCTAGTGATCAGCTTTAGGGCAAAGAAATTGCAAGGACATTTTTTTTAAGGGTCTGAGTTTTAAAAACAAAAGGATCTTCCCTAGAAATTTTTGTGAATTGTTTGCACTTGTGCCTGTTTTAAATTAAACTGAGTGTTTAAACCGCTGGGCTTCCTGCTGTCTAGTATTGGAGCCAGGCTGTCGTGGACCTGAATGCCCTGCAGTGGGGATCTGGTGGGCTTCCCAGCAGTCACTTGAGTCCACAGGACACCCAATTTCCCTGTTGACCTATGGACTCTGGAAATAAAGGTACAGTAGGGCAACATGAAGTGAAAGGCTTTTGGGACTGAAACACAAGAAACAGATAGGGTTCCTTCCCAGAGCTGATGATCCTTTCTGCATCAGCTTCTCCCTTCTTCTGCCCTGGACCTCAAACTGTTCATAGGAAGTGGCCTGAAACTGTCGCCAGTGAGAAAGCAGTCCTGTTTCATTTCTCAGAACCAAAGGAAACTGTGCAGAGAAGTGGCTAGAAATCAAGAAACCTGGATCTAGTCCTGAGTGGGAGGTTGGTAAAATTATCTTTCAACTTCTGGCTCCAACATTAATTCCATCCCTTCCTTCCAGAGATTATACCCAACCCAGGAACTGAAACTCCTTAGCCAGGAGCAAGGGGTCATGCAGACTGTCTCCCACTCCCCAGAGCATTCCCACCCAGACTGCAACCCCAGTACCACCAGCTCAGTTGGAAGCAGCCCCTGTGACCTACCTTCAGAAGCCCACCACAATAGAATGGGCAGGGTGGGAGTTGATGAAGGCAGGAGCCTCCACAGGAAGCGAGTATACCCTTCCATCCCTCCAAAGGGAGTCAAGAGAGGGTGGTAAGGCAAAGAGAGGCCAGTTTCACAATGGAATAACACTGGGTTTATTAACTATTCTTTTGAATTCCACTAGTCTTTTTGCCACACAGTATCACTCCAGAAAGGTGTGCAAATGTCCTTTAGTCTCCCACACAGATCAGTACTGAATTCTAGTGGCCTGGGTGACTCTTCACAAAGATGAAAGCAACAAGAACAGGAAAAGCAAAATACTTAGCAAAGTCTCTTCTACAGTGGAGTGAGCTAGAGAGGACCCCAACCTCAATGGTTCCAGGCTGACAATGAGAGGACGTTGAGGGGGCTAAGTGTGGTGAGACATGGAAATTCTGCACAGAGACGGACCTGGAAAGGAGTTTGCAAGGACAGCAAGGCAGGCAGACACAGTTCAGACAGGGAGGATCTGCTGTGGCTATTTAGAAACATCACTTTCACCACTAAGCTCTTGGCCACTCCATAGAGTGAAACCCTCATGGCTGTTTACCCAATAAAGAGGGCCTGAGGTGACATTCACCCAGAAACTCAGTCAGTGGCACTGAAAAGATGATAGTACCTCTGATACAATGTGTGACCCAGGCCTCTTGCTGTTTTTAAGTCAAAATACTTGTAATCTTACACCACTGAAAACTTCATTAATTAACACAGTTGAAAAGGGCATAAGTTGAGCAAGCAAAGATCCACAAAGAAGCAGTTTGCACTTGGGTGTCCAATTATCCCCCATCCCACCCATGACTCATTCTCTCAGGCTTTTTGGACACTCTGATTTGTTCACTCACCACCCAGACAAGAGGACTGAGAAGAGGCATATCATAGGAAAACAGTGCATAATTGGCATGTCCCAAGATTCAGAAACCATAAGGGAAAGGTCGGTAGCTCCAGTTTTGGGGGGGAAGAGAACAGGAGCTCTTAAGACTGGAAGCCTTAACTTGGAGGATTAACTTGGGGGTCTTAGTGAAGGGTCTGGCGCATGCTACAGTGTGAGTTTTTTCCCCGTTGTCCCAGTGAAGTGACTTCAAGTATCCGGATTTAATTTCTACAAGAGGAAGAGGATTCCACGGGTGAATGCCCACCGAGGGAAAAGTACACAGCGGCGATGATCCCAAATAAAATCAGAAGGCTGAGCCCCGAGCCAGGACGCAGCGAGGCAGATCTGCCACCAGGGGGCACCGGGAATCACGTCCAGTGTATGGGCTCGCGCGCCTCGGAGAAGCCTGGGGGGTGGGGTAGGTGTAAGGATTAGCGTTGACACCTGCACCAGGCCCCACCTGACTCCCTTTCCACCCCTCAATCCCAGACCCAGTTTTTCAGCGTCATTATCTCTTTGACCGGTTCGTTTGGAGTTACTGGTGAGAAACCTTCTGTTCCACAAAGACATCTTGAAAAGACCCCATCGTAGACAGGTGAAGGGCCTCACGCTCAGCCACGGGGGTTCACAAAAAGAGCCCCACCTAACGCCCCCCCCCCCCGCCGCAGACTGGGCGCACTGACACCTTTGCTGACGCTTCCACAGTGTGCTGTAGGGCTCGGCGATTTTCCTGACCCCCTCCTCCCGCCCTTGGCTAGGCGGGTACAAAGAGTAGGAGGACGGAGGCAGGGAGGGAGGGGACAAAGGACCCGACCAGGAAAGGGCCCTTAACCATGTCTCCGCGGTGGCCTCTGACTCACTAATCTGCCCAGTAATAAAAGCTGGAAGCTGCGCCGGGCCTGCATCCCACGCGGTGGGGCAAAGGCAGGGGTCCTTGGTCTCGACTTCTACCATCCATCATCGGCCCTGCCCTCCATTAACAGCCCAGCGAGAAGCAGGAGACGTTTAACAGGCTCCTTCCAGCTCTCCCCCGAGTTTGATGTAATTTAAACCCGGACCTGCGGCTCGTGTGGGCTCCCGACTCCCGCGCGCTGCCGTTTAACGTCGCAAACACTTCAGTCAATTATCCCCCTCGCGGAGCTTCTATTTAAAGAGATATTGTCAGGTTCTTAAGCCTCGGATCAGACCTGCTGCTTTATGCTTCATATACAAAGACTCAAAACAAGAGTTCTTTGAGGGTTGGAAAAAATGCAATTAAGCAAAGCCTTCGCAACCGTTCTACCCTGCCGGAGCACCCACGTGCTGATCGCAGGGAGCTGGAAAGCGGTGGGGGAGGGGAAGTGCTAAGTCCTTTCCATTTCAAGTGAATGGATATAAGGGTGGGCCAGGAGGAGTCAGGGCTTGAACCTCAAAGATGAAATTTAAATGCATCTGGAGCCGAGAAGGCAGAGTTGAGCTGGGTAGGGTTTTGGGGGGGACAGTTACCCTATAACGTGAAAGAAGTTGAATCCCAGGTCTGCCTGGGACAGAGGCAGAGGGAGTTTGTTACCTAGAAACTGGCTCAGGGGACAAGTGGTGACCAATATCAGAGGTGCTCTTGTCCCCCCTTTAAAAAAAAAAAAAACTGCTTTGTAAAGATACAGGAATTTCTATCCCAGAAAATCTTAAAAGAGCCAGATCTTAATCAGTCTTGTGTCTATAAAGACTCTGGGGGCCCTGGGGCCTCCCCCTTCTCTAATTTAGGAGGGAGGGAGATTTTGGTAGCTTTCACATTATCCTCAGCATCAGTAGGCAAAGAGGGCTAGGCCTTGGTTCTCCAAAGCCAATTTTGACATTTGCCTGGTTACCAGGGTATTGAGAAACTCACCAGGGGAAAGGGACCCGGCAGAAACCTAGGCAGACTGAGTCTTTGGGGTTAGAGTGAGGGTCCACCTTCCTGGAGGAAGACTGAAGCTATGAACCAGTCTTCCATATCTCACCTTCTGATAATAGAAAAGGCAGGTAGTAGGAAAGGTGAGAGATCTAGACAAGGAATACCAAAGAGCACAAACGAGGGGTCCCTTCCTTCTGATGAAAGTCTTGCCTTGGCAGTGGGGACAGGTTTTCAGATGGGGAGGGACTCCAGGAACAGGCTGCTGGAAAGTAAGGGACCTGGATAAAAGGGAGAAATCCCAGTGGAGCAGACAAGAGATTAGGGGAGCAGGGCTTAGTCCTTCATCTTTATCGCTGAGCCTGCACCACCACAGCCTCTGAGCCCCCTTGCCAAGGCTTCGGCCCAGGCACCGAGTGGGGCAGAGCGTTGGCCTCTAACTCCGGACCACTATCAGGCCCTGAAGCCTCCCCAACCAAGCTGGGGATGTCTGGAGCTGTGGAACGTCGGCGCAAACCCAAGCGGCCAGAGCCGGTGCCGCCCTCCGGGTGGGGACTAAGGCCAATGGGGGCTTGCACTAAGGTTGAGGGCGCTCCCTCCAGCACCTCATGAGAGCGCCACCGCCCAGCCCCCGAAGACTGGGGTGAGTTTGGTAGGGCCATCAGGGCCCCCGCCCGTAGACGTGCTGCCTCCTCCTCGGTCATGGCACCCAGGGCCAGGCTCATGCTCCGGCCCAGCTCCGGCCGCTCGCTGCCCTGTGCCCGGTGCCGGCCCGAGCCCTTGCCTGTTGAGCCAGCCTCACCACCATGGCCGTGGCCGTGGCCGTGGCCGTGGCCGCCCGCCGCTCTCGCAAAGCGCGCCAGTAGAGGCCGCGGTAGGCGGCGGGGGCTGGGTCGTCGACGCTCTGGGCTGGGTTCAGGGGCCGGGCGGCCAGGGGGACTGTCGGAGTTGGAGCCCCGGGCCGCTGCGGCGGCTGCGGCTCGGCCCCAGGGCCCGGTGAGGGCCTGCACACAGGTCCCATGGCCACGGGCTGCGGCCAGCTGTAGAGCTGTGAGGCCCGCACGATTGGTGCGGTCGAGGCGAAGGCCGAGGCGGCGGAAGGAGCGCACCAGGAACTCAAGCACAGCCCCGTGGCCGCACGCCGCCGCCCACATCACAGGGCTGTTGCCTGCTGAGTCGGCTGCCTCGGGGTCGCCGCTGAACTGTACCAGCAGCTGCACGGCGTCCAGGTGGCCTCGTTCACATGCCAGGCTGAGTGCCGTGCGCCCGCGCTCATCCCGCAGGTTCACCGCCGCACCCTGCTCAAGCAGTAGTCGCACGAAGCGCGCGCGCATCGCGGGATCTGGCAGCCCCACGGCCACCATAAGCGGCGTGCGACCCTGTTCTGCGCGGCAGTCGATGATGCTGCGGTCCAGTGCGTCCAGCACGAAACGGGCCAAGTGCACTTTGCCCGCCTGCATGGCCTCCAGGAAGGTGCGCGTACCCGCTCGCGGACATAAGTCCTTGGGCTTAAGCATGATCTCGACCGCCGCGCCGGGGCGGCCCGGCAAGTCCGCACGGGGGCGCCCCTGTTCCCGCTCCCCGCGGGGCTACAGCCCCAGCCCGCGCTCCGGTACCGCTTCCTCCGCGCGTGGGCTGCTGAGGCTGAGGTCCCGAGGTTCCTATCCCGATATATCAGCGGCTCGGGCAGCTCTTGAGCCAAACGCCTGGCGTCTCGCTGCTTCCTCTCCAGGTTTCCCCCCTGGAGGTGTGGGTTGCTCGCTACTCCGGGGTCCTCTCCTGGTCCACTACTAGACAAAAGCCCAAGCTTGGTACCCTCCTGAGTCTCCTGACGTTGTTACGGTGTCCGACGCCCCCTTGGTCCCTTGTGGCTTGGAGCCACGCCACTCACCCGCACACCGGGCAGCCCCCGCTCCCCTGCTGAGACGGTGGCGCCCGCCGTGCGTGCCTGCCTCCAACCCAGGCGGGGCGCGCCGCTCCTCAAGCTGCTGGCGCCGTTCCTCCGCCTCCTCCCCTCTTGCGGGGGCCGGGCCACGCCGGGGCGCTAGCTTCTTACTTAGGGGGTTCAACGGCGCGGGAGCAGCCGGCCGCCTGGATACCTGGCTTTATAGCCTCGGGGGTCTCCATGGCAATCGCTGTCCAAGAAGCGTGCTGCACCGTCAGGGCAGAGACAGATCGGGCTGGGGAGACCGCCCCTGACCCCCACCCCTTTGTGGGCCGTAAAGTTGGGGAGCGGCTCCTCCTCCGCGCTCCCCTGGGAATGCTGCGGTGGTTGCGGGGCGAAGGCGGGGGCTGTTCGCAGGGGGCCACATGCACCCGGCCGGGCCAATCCCAAAGTTGCAGTCTTCTCTCCCCGCCCTCCGCCTCCACTAGAGTCAGTGCCCTAGGCTCCTTAGAAACTGTCGGGACCGCGGCTCGTTGGGGAAAATTGAGAGCTGCTTCCAGCGGTCCTTGGTGAAAGGAAACGGTACCACAACAGGGCAGAACTAGACCATGCACAAGCTGGGGGTGGCGGCGAAAGGCAAATGAGGCACTAGTGCTGCGGACTGGGAATGGGGGAGTTCAGTGTGGCTGGGAACTGCCACCCGAAGTGCAGCGGATCACGCCGTCACACACAATTGTGCCTCCCGCACAGGCTCACTTGGAGCAGGGAGGGGGGCGCGCTCTCCAATTTCAGACGTCTCCAACCTTGACAAACGCTCCCGCGTGCCAGCTCCCAGTGGCTGCAGCGAAGCAGGCAGGGCGTAGACTCCGCGGCAGTGGCGTCCCAGGGCAGAAGCCCTAGGACCCAAGAGTGTTGCAGTCGAGTTAGGACTCCTCAGCATTACCTCCCAGCTCCTCCAGCACCTGCCGCCACCCGCAGAAAGCGAGAAACACAAGCACAGGGCTCTGGCCCTGACTCTAACTGACCTCTAAGGAAAAGAGGAGATCATGAGATCTATCTTCCATTAGATGTGTGGAAAAACTGCCCCATCTCCTCTCATTCTGCCCACTACTGCTCAGCCCCGGGGAGGGGAACACCACAGGCATAGGTTGAGGGAAGTTAGGGTGTCTCAGAGCGCTGGGAAGTGTGGAGAGGGTGAGTAGGCTTGGAATGGATAGTTGCAAAGTAAGAGTGAACCAGGCATCAAGTACTGAATTTACTGAGGCTTCATGAGCAGTGAAAAATACAGAGGTAAAAGCTAGGTTCTGGAAGAAAGAGACTTCCTCTCTAAAGTGGAAGACAATGCCAGGATATAACTAGCTCCTGTTATCATCTGAAGGTTGAATAAGATGGAATTGTGGGGAGGGGAGAGTTTTGGATCTTCTGAAGATAGGGAGCAGAATTGGTTCTTGGCTCCTAAGAAATGAGGGAGACAGTTCTGACAGGGGACTGTGGAGGCAAAGGCACTGAAATAGGAAAACACCTGTAGGGGGCGGTGTTGAGAGTTGCTTTAAGATGTCCTGTCCCATAAAAGACAAGAGATTCAGTGAAGAATGAAGGCCACCCAAGCAGAGCAATGGTAAGATGCTGTGCAGGAGGTGTGCTCGGAAGGTATGAGGTGAGGAGAGCAGGTGCTGCTGGGAAGATATTGAGCCCATGAACTTCTCTTCAGTCCCAGGCTCCATGGACACTCACCTTGTGCTCCAGCCATGCCCTGTAGTAGGGGTTTTCTGCACATGCTAAAAGCACCCCTTACTCTTTGTGCATTTTTTAAAAAGCCTTTGGCCAGGGGTCTGCCAGTTTTCTTTTATGACGTTGTGGAAAGGGCACAGTATTTGATAACAAAGTTAATTCCAGCCTAGAATGTGCTAGTAGGGTGACCCCAGGCCTTCACATTTTCGTTTGCAAAAGGATGCTAATACCAGCTCTATCTGCTCCACAATAGAGCAGGGAACAAGTATATGGAAAAGCACTGCATGGAAACCCTTAACGCCCAGTACTCCCCTCACTCCATACCAAGCAAGACTCTCCAGCCTCAGTAAGGCAGGGATGCTTTCCCTCTTTACTCAGCAGAGGAAAGCCTCCCCCACCCCTCTTTAGGACTCAGTTTCCCTTTTCAACAGCATAAGGAAAATGGTTTTTTTCCTTCCTGTCTGCTTCCAGGGTCAGGGAAAGGGGTACCTCTGGAATCTATGTGTGATAGGTCAGGCTGTGTACTCCCCCACCCCCAAGTGGAGAATAGAATCAGGAGAAAGCCTGCACCAAGGAGGCGCACTGGGTCCTAAAGAGCCAGGCCCCTCCTTCCTGAGCCTCCTTGAGCCAACTCAGCTTCTTCTATACCTCAGTTCCCTGTGGTGGATGGAGACAGATCCAGGGAAGAGGAGGAGCTGCAACAAGGCCACTTTAGGGTTTCACCTTGCCTGAGCTGGTTCTCTCTGGAAGGTACAGCCTGTTCCATTGGCCCCAGATGGCATGGCTGACCCAGCCAGGCCTACAGTGGGATGGGTTGTGGTGCCAGGTCTCAGGTCCTGGAGCCTCTGCTTTGACTTCCTTTCCTATGGGCTCAGTATGTTCTGAACAGAAAAGAAATAGCAAAGCTGAAAAAAGCTGAGACTTTGCTGCAGAGCATAGAGGCACCAGCAGCCAGAATTAGAAGCTGTCGCTTAGAGAGCTGAAGCCTGACAGAAGAAGGAGCTGAGGCAGGCAGGGGGCAGGCAGGCACTCCACACACCCCCTCCCCTCCCACTTGCCCAACCTCTCCGCTGTCAGGCCTCAGGCTGGCAAAAGTCTTCCTCCCAGAGGAGCCTCAGTCTGCAAGTCTGTCACTCTGTCTGCAACTGCCCTCTCTCCTAGGCCCCCCCTTCTTTCTTCCTCAAGTGTCACCAGCCCCCTCACCCTGTCACGTTGCACTAGCTTGGCAGGGTTGGGTCTGGTAGCACGTGTCTGGGAGATCCAGAGAACTGCCAGAGGTACAGGGGGTGGGTGAGTCAGCAGGGGATCTGGCACTGAGTCAGCAAGGGGATTGGGCAATAGGTAGGGACCCTTTTCTTTGTGCAGTGGTGAGACAGACATGACAAGGGAACCTGACCCTAGCCTCACAGATGTACAGCAGGGATGGAACTCAGTGCCCTTCACCTGCTGCAGTGCCAGAGGGAGGACATCAACTCTTCCTTTGCATATCCCCTGATGTTAATTCATCTCTAGGGTCCAGAGATTGCATTTGCCCAGATGTTCAGCCTGCCTACCTCCTGCCCTTTTTTATAGACTATAGAAATCAGGGAAGTGGGTATCTAGGTCTGGCCTCATGAAAAGCTGTGCAGAGATCCCCCCAGGAGGAAAGACTGCATCCCCTTCCCCATTCTTGGGCTTCCTAACTACAAGGGGGCACCAGTCTCTCCTGAGCAGTCACCTTCAATTGCTAAGACTGTGGCTATCTTGGCTCTGGCTCTGGCTAATGCCTGTGTGCCTGGATCAATGAGTTCCTCTAGGCCTGGATCCTCATCCAGAGGTTCTTCCCCAAGGGGTGAGAGGAGAGGAGAGGAGAGATGGGGTGGCTGCCTGCCTGGAGGACTGAAGTCAGGGCTTTGCCCTGCAGGATAGGTGTCTACCCCCATTGTACCCAGCGTGTCTGCTGGCTGGTCAGTGCCACGGGTTCTGTGAATGAGCAGTCTTCCATTCTTATCCTGCAGCTGGGACAGGTGGGACCCCAGAGGCCAGGCCCTTAGAGAGATGGGAAGGGGGAGGGTGCCCCTGTTTACTTTCCAGAGACACAGGTGCTCACCACTAATGGCACTGCTGTAACTCTGTTAAGAAAACAACCTCTTCCCAGCATCACCCCCACCCTGCTTCTCCCAAGCCATAGCCTGTTCCATTTGGGATTTGGTACTGTGCTGTAGAGAGAGTGGCTTCCCACAGACCCTCTGCAACAATTTTTTGGGGTCAAATACAGCTGCCACAGAGCTATGCATCTGGCTACTCTAGGTCTTCCCAAAGAGGTCTAGGTGGCCTAAAACTTTAGGTACCTTTGCACTAGGCCCTCATGTTCCAGTCCTGAGTGTGGAGACAAGAAGTGCCATATCTGTGTGGGGGTGAAGAGGGAGTGACATGATTTTCCAGTGATTGTGGCATCAGGCCAGCAAGAAGGGGAAGTTACTCCTCTTTAAGCCCAGAGGCAGGGCCATTCCACTGGGCTTTGGAAGGGACCTCACCCTGGGTTCAGTTTCCAAGGAATTCTTTTTCCTCAGCCAACTTCATTTCAAGAATACTCCACTCCCATATCCCCCATTTCCTAGATGGAGAACAGAGGCCAGGCTTAGGCAGGAAATGTTGGGTCATGGTTCTTTAGTAGGAGTAGGAAGGAGAAAAATAAATAAACCACAAATTCAGAAGGGAAAATGATGCTGACCTTGTCAGGCAACCTTAGTGGAATGCATGATAGGAAGTACCCACCCCAGGTCTAGGGAAAGGGGTGAGCCCAGGAGGCCAACCTCCATTCTCAACATCAACCCCAGCCCCACATATCTCAGCAGCTGAGGGCCAGTCTGCTGAGGTAGCTTTTGCCTGTCAGCCTCCTGTTCCCCAAAGCAGGAGATA